TCATCCGGAAAACACATTGGACCTGATAATTCTTGTAAAGTTTGGATGGAATTGCACAAGTTGATATTGAGGAGAAGTGCGGACAAGTTTTGTGACGGACAGACAGGCAGACAGCGGAGAAGTTATCCCACTACTCTGTAGAGATGACACAAACAGGAAGCTGAAGATTTAACAACTGACGTGAGACATTTTGTAATATATTTAACTAGGATTATACACATCAGCAGCTGTTGCTGACAGTAATACTGTAAAATTGAACTCCATAATAACACTACAATATTATATTCCATTATTGTCAACTGTAAAAATACAAAAAACACCAATAAATATCCAAGAAAATATCTCTCTCTACGTTTCCAAAGTCTATCTTATAACCTGTCAACATAATTTTTGCTGACATATCCAATCTTCTTTAAAGTGGCATCTTTAATGCAAAATAACAAATAATATTCAAAAACGGGGATTCAAAAACAAAACAAGATATGTTTGTAAAACATGTATGCACCCTATCACCAGCCAATTAGTCATGTGATAAGGTTATTATGCATGACTTCTGACCCAGTGATCAAACAATTAATAAGGGTTATAAAGTATCTACTGGTCATGACTTTGACCCCTTGACCCAAAACTCAATAGGGGTCATCTGCTGGTCACGATCAATCATCATACAAAGTTTGAAGTTCCTAGGCGTTTTTAGTAAATTGATCAGAAACCGTTTTTACCTACAAGGTCAATGTGACCTTGACCTTTGACCCCTTGACCCCAAAATCAATAGGGGTCATCTGCTGGTCATGACCAATCACCATGCCTAGGTTGAAGTTCCTATGCCTAAGGGTTCTCTTTATTATTGATCGGAAACCGTTTTAACATACAAGGTCAATGTGACCTTGACCTTTGACCCCAAAATCAATAGGGGTCATCTGCTGGTCATGACCAATCACCATGCCAAGTTTAAAGTTCCTAGGCCGAAGCTTTCTTTAGTTATTGATCAGAAACCGTTTTTACTTACAAGGTCATTGTGACCTTGACCTTTGGGCTTAATCCCAAAATCAATAGGAGTAATCTGCTGGTCATGACAAATCACCATACCAAGTTTGAAGTTCCTAGGCCTAAGTGTTCTTGAGTTATTGATCAGAAACCGTTTTTACTTCCAAGGTCAATGTGACCTTGACCTTTGACCCCTTCACCTAAAACTCAGTAGGGTCATCTGCTGGTCATGACCAATCATCACACAAAGGTTGAAGTTCCTAGGCCTAAGCATTTTTAGTAAATTGATCGGAAACCGTTTTTACCTACAAGGTCAATGTGACCTTGACCTTTGACCCCTTGACCCCAAAATCAATAGGTCATCTGCTGGTCATGACCAATCACCATACAAAGTTTGAAGTTCCTAGGCATAAGGGTTCTTAAGTTATTGATCGGAAAGCATTTTTACCTACAAGGTCAATGTGACCTTGCCCTTTAACTCCTTAACCCCAAAATCAATAGGGGTCATCTGCTGGTCATGACAAATCACCATACCAAGTTTGAAGTTCCTAGGCCTAAGGGTTCTTTAGTTATTGATCGGAAACCGTTTTTACCTAAGAGGTCAATGTGACCTTGACCTTTGACCCCTTGACCCCAAAATCAATAGGGGTCATCTACTGATCATGAACAATCACCATCTCAAGTTTGAAGTCCCTAGGCCTAAGAGTTCTTTCATTATTGATCGGAAACCGTTTTTACCTACAAGGTCAATGTGACCTTGACCTTTGACCCCTTAACCCCAAAATCAATAGGGGTCATCTGATTGGTCATAACCAATCACCATACCAAGCTTGAAGTTCCTAGGCCTTAAGGTTCTTTAGTTATTGATTGGAAACCGTTTTTACCTACAAGGTCAATGTGACCTTGACCTTTGACCCCAAAATCAATAGGGGTCATCTACTGATCATGACCAATCACCATACCAAGTTTGAAGTTCCTAGGCCTTAAGGTTCTTTAGTTATTGATCGGAAACCGTTTTTGCTGAAAAGGTCAATGTGACCTTGACCTTTGACCCCTTGACCCCAAAATCAATAGGGGTCATCTACTGATCATGACCAATCACCATACCAAGTTTGAAGTTCCTACGCCTTAAGGTTCTTTAGTTATTGATCGGAAACCGTTTTTGCTTTCATGGTCAATGTGACCTTGACCTTTGACCCCTTGACCCCAAAATCAATAGGGGTCATCTACTGGTCATGACCAATCACCATACCAAGTTTGAAGTTCCTAGGCCTTAAGGTTCTTTAGTTATTGATCGGAAACCGTTTTTGCTTACAAGGTCAATGTGACCTTGACCTTTGACCCCTTGACCCCAAAATCAATAGGGGTCATCTACTGATCATGACCAATCACCATACCAAGTTTGAAGTTCCTAGGCCTTAAGGTTCTTTAGTTATTGATCGGAAACCGTTTTTGCTTTCAAGGTCAATGTGACCTTGACCTTTGACCCCTTGACCCCAAAATCAATAGGGGTCATCTACTGATCATGACCAATCACCATACCAAGTTTGAAGTTCCTAGGCCTTAAGGTTCTTTAGTTATTGATCGGAAACCGTTTTTGCTTTCAAGGTCAATGTGACCTTGACCTTTGACCCCTTGACCCCAAAATCAATAGGGGTCATCTACTGGTCATGACCAATCACCATACCAAGTTTGAAGTTCCTAGGCCTTAAGGTTCTTTAGTTATTGATCGGAAACCGTTTTTGCTTACAAGGTCAATGTGACCTTGACCTTTGACCCCTTGACCCCAAAATCAATAGGGGTCATCTACTGATCATGACCAATCACCATACCAAGTTTGAAGTTCCTAGGCCTTAAGGTTCTTTAGTTATTGATCGGAAACCGTTTTTGCTTTCAAGGTCAATGTGACCTTGACCTTTGACCCCTTGACCCCAAAATCAATAGGGGTCATCTACTGATCATGACCAATCACAATACCAAGTTTGAAGTTCCTAGGCCTTAAGGTTCTTTAGTTATTGATCGGAAACCGTTTTTGCTTACAAGGTCAATGTGACCTTGACCTTTGACCCCTTGACCCCAAAATCAATAGGGGTCATCTACTGATCATGACCAATCACCATACCAAGTTTGAAGTTCCTAGGCCTTAAGGTTCTTTAGTTATTGATCGGAAACCGTTTTTGCTTTCAAGGTCAATGTGACCTTGACCTTTGACCCCTTGACCCCAAAATCAATAGGGGTCATCTACTGATCATGACCAATCACCATACCAAGTTTGAAGTTCCTAGGCCTTAAGGTTCTTTAGTTATTGATCGGAAACCGTTTTTGCTTTCAAGGTCAATGTGACCTTGACCTTTGACCCCTTGACCCCAAAATCAATAGGGGTCATCTACTGGTCATGACCAATCACCATACCAAGTTTGAAGTTCCTAGGCCTAAGGGTTCTTTAGTTATCACTCGGAAACCATTTGGTCTACGGACCGACGGACCGACAAGTGCAAAGCAATATACCCCCTTTTCTTCGAAATGGGGGCATTACAAAGAAGGCTCTTGTAATACTATTACTTAAACAATGTGTAATGACAGTGATACATGTAGGTTTTAAACCCTTAGTTTTTAATCAGATGTGCCCTTTTCAGGAAGAAATCAGTTTTAGGCAGAAATTTGCGGTAGTCATGAAAGTGAATAATAATAATAATAATGTTAGTATGAAGAGAAAAAAAATTGAAACCTAAATCAAACAAACTTATTTAAAGACAATAAAAAACAATGATTGAACACATAAAACAACTTCAGATCTGACCTCCATTACAGTTAAGAATACATTACTGATAAAACAAAATAAATTGTTTGAACATACATGTATTGTAATTGGTGATATTTTTTATACACTGAAGTTTGAGTAACAAATAATGCATGGTATATGCAAATTTATTAATAAATTCCTAAATTTACATTAGACTACTGATGGAATAAAACTAAAATGAGCCACGTCACATCAAAACCAACATAATGGGTTTGCGACCAGCATGGATCCAGACCAGCCTGCGCATTCGCGCAGTCTGATCAGGATCCATGCTGTTCGCTTACCAACCCTATAAAAAGTAGAGAAACTGATAGCGAACAGCATGGATCCTGATCAGACTGCGTGGATGCACATGCTGGTCTGGATCCATGCTGGTCACAAATGCACTATGTTGGTTTTGTCCTGACACGGCTCAAATTTAAATAACGCCAGTAAGCTTTCATTATTTTTACAATGTCACACTTACAACTTTATACTATATAAGTGGTTAAGTTAGCGACACAAAAATAAATGGCAAATTTCGCATATTGACAAAAATTACTAAACTTTCCTCTAGCGTAATAAATATCAACCAATCTATTATTAAATTCTACACTTGCATGATTCGCTGATATTTCCTCACAAATCTCTGGAATTTTAAATTTGCTAACTTTTTGACATGCGGAAATATCCTTGTATACAGTAAACAGGAATTGCATTCAATATTTAAAAACACTCTGTATAATACAATGTAATCAGTATAACTTATCTATCATTATCTGAATACTAGGTAAATTATGTTTTTTACTAATTTATTTTCGGGACAAATTTGTTTTTGGGACACCCTATACAACTGTATCTGGTGCAATCTCGGATCCCTGGGACATTATGTCATATACAGGTGTAACATATGAATCTGTTTAACAACGAACCCCCATATCCATACTGCAACACTGACAATATTTTAGTAACACATTCAAACCAATACCTTTAAATCCAATTATAAAATTCAAAATTAACAAAAGTGCAAAAAGCAATTCTTCTAGAAGTAGTTAAACTACTTAAGCAAACATCACAGTTTTATAAGCAAGGTAAAACTTCTCATTTCTACACAGTTCTAATAAGGCAAGCTCATTTTTTACAAATATTTCAACAACAATATCATAAATTATGGCAACTTAATTATATATCAACATGTATTAAACATTTCAGTGATAAAATGATACCACCAGTATAAAAAACATGGCAGACTATATATCAGTGCAACTTTAACTAAACCCTATACTTTATACAAATGGTGGTATTCCAAACTTAAAATCGCTAACACTAACAAAAATAAGTTACACAAACAAAGCAGGGTAAATGTTAAATGCCCAATGATTGTACAAATCATATCACATACATACATGTATAATCATATTTATTTATCAAAAAAATGATATTCAATGTCAAATGTGTCATTTTGGTATTATAGCTGACGTAAGATGACACATAAAAATTTGACACAATGTGTCACAATTGTCGAAAAAATTGGTACCTTGATACCTCATTGATTATCGAAAAAAAGAAGAGAAAATGAGGTATATATGACCAAACCAAATTTTTTAGCTACTAGATGAAATAACAGTAGGAGTATATAGTCTAAACCAGGTCATACATGCCTTAATCATAATGCATGTGTAAATAATAATAATTATATGCCTAAATGGCCATACATGTGCAAATAATCATAATTATATACCTAAATGACAATATATGCATAAATAATCATGATTATATGCCTAAATGACCATACATGCAAAAATAATCATACTTATATGCCTAAATGACCATATATGCATAAATAATCATAATTATATGCCTAAATGTGCAAGCAAAATAAAGTCAAATACTTGCTTCATAATACAACAAAATATTTTTAGTAACACATATACAATATCCCATCGCTAAAATATGAACTTCAGATCTTCCTTGATCCCATTAAGTATGTTTGGCAGTTATGTATGATTACATAATGGTACATCTTGATGCAAGTAGTATTGGTGTCTCTTCTGACATTAGGAATATGGTTCCATTAAAATGTTCATTTTCTTAAATAAAAGACAGCAAATTGTTATTTGAAAATTTATTTTGTGGCTTAAGCTACACTTGTGAAGAACTTTGAGTTGTGCTTGCTACTTGGTGATGCTTTCTGGACTCTTTACCTTCCCTGGAACAGACAAAAGCATTTGAATATGACTGAACAATAGAGTCTTTAGAGTAATAAAGGTAACCCTTACAACAAAAGCCAAAATAATAACTTAAAACAATAGTAGCCAGCTTATATATTGGTGTCATTTTAACTGGCTGCATATTCTTAGGTTGCTCTCTTCCTTTTTGAACTTTTGTTTTTCTTTTTGAATAAATAGAAGTTAGTGATGCATATTTGTTGTAATTTTTATGGCATTTACTACTATAGCACAAACATGTACAAAAAGTACATCTGTAGTATGGGATACTGAGGTAAATATTGCGGTATGGGCCATAACATGGTATACCACAGTATATTTGTCCTGGTGGTACCCAGCTCTACTAGGTGTGCAAGATGCAACCATTCATTACAAAATATCACATTTGGCCATTAAAATAAAAGTGAGTACAAAGGAAGGGATGGAAGAACAAACAGGTTATCACACACTCCTCTACAATTAATTTGAGGTGATGAACATAAAAAGTAATATTTCCCATACCTTCTATGATGCTTTGTACGTTTAAGTGTGGCTGCATTGGATATCCAGGGAAGAAGTTTGCCTTTTATTACATGATAATTTCTCTCCAGTTCTCTCTGATATTCCTTCTGCTCATGTGTAATTAGTGATTTATTTCTGTGTAGGGCATCACAACACCTGGAAAATGAATAGAGGATATTGAATGAGTGTAAGTTAAAAACAGATTTATTAAATGAGTTGAATAAAACTATATTATGTGAGCTTCTGGCAAGCTTAATATTATTTAATTCAACAAGTTCAATAAATTCAGTAATGAACTAACATGAATTTAATATTCTATTTATCACATACCAAAAATAAATACTGTTTGAAATGAAAAAGAACTTTTTTCATTGAAGCGCCTATGATATAACGCTAACATTTAGCGCGTCTTTACACTATGTTTATATAACACAAATGACGTCAAGCAGCACAGGTATGTGATAAACATTTGTTTTTCTTCCATTCAAGTCATGAAAACACAAATAATGTTTTATGTTTACCTGTTTTATGCTTATCTTGCTAAAAATCTTGTCAATCTCTCAATTAAGACATAGCCATTCAAAATTTTTAGGGAAAATTTAAAAATATGCAGTGCCTGAACAGCAAACAGTGCAGACCATAATCAGACAGCATAAGGGTGCAGACTGCTGTGTATAATGGCCATATTAGTAGCTGAAAGCAGGCTAAAGGTTATTTGAAGGATGCTGTTTAATTTACTTAATTTCAAAATAAAACAAGTAAATAGTTGTCTAATAGTAAAATACCTTAATATATTCTGCATCTAACTATAAATAGGGAAGTAGCAATGAAAAATACCAAATAAAATTATCTTAAATAATTAAGTGATTAAAATGTCTTGAATCACAAATTTCATGCACAACTTTTGGTATATGAATTAACCTGATGTCAAAATCACAATTTAGAAACTTATTATCAAAGGCCCTACGAGAAAATTTCACTTACTTTTTCAGGAAATCTTTGAAGCAGAGTCTCAACTTGTTATGATGTTTCATTCCAACCTGTTTCCCTTCAGCAACTTCCTTCAGGAATACATTTGCTACCTCCACTGGTCCCTGTAACAAGAATTTGTAACAGAGTTACCAACATTCCCTGCTTAAGGAAAGTTTTACATGAAGCACAAAATTGTGCCATTGGTATGGATCTGGACATTCACTGCAAAATTTTTTATTAATGCTAGATCTACACATGCAAGTTACAATAATTTCATTTAAGAAATTTAATGATATAACTCCTGTGTATGTGTCAACAGAAATACATTTGTATAGTTTTCACTATTTCAAAGCCACAAAATGTGACAAATACATAATCCATACAGAATATGGTCAGTTACAGGTTATATTTTGTGTACAGTCAGTAACTTTTTGCATCGATCAAGGTATGTGGGCAATTCACAAATGACATTTAATATGACAATAATTTATATATTCCCCTCACTCTGTATTTCCAGAATAATTGTTTAATTGTTAAAAATGACCCAAAATTGAAAATTGTTGTAACCTTTTTTTCACTTAAATTGGATAAAGAAAAGCACAAAAAATATACGATTTTTAATTTATTTTGAAGTATATTTCTTAATTATCTTTTGCATATCTTTCTGTTTAAAGTGCCCCAGTTGATCTACATAAGAAATTCAACTTTTATGTTTTTAGGCTTTTGGGACCTCAGTGGAGTTTCTTTAAGCTTTAACCTCAAAGTGTGACCTTGGGTTTTTATGGGGGGGGGGGGTGTCTTTTCAAAGCGGAAAGGTCCATTACATTAAGTCAGGGTGGTGAGAGTTAAATGATGAATAAGTACGTTTTCATAATTGCAAAAATATGACATGAGGTTATCAGATGAATTCAGGATAATTTGTTTAAGAAAATACCTACAAATAATTAATCAAATGTTGAAGAACTCTTAACCATTAATTGGAGCCAGCATAATTAAAATATAGACAATACCTGGTTAACTGTGGTACCAAGACACCCCTGCATTACCATCTGTAACATCTTGGTATCTGGTGGATCCTGTCTCAGTGCAATAGCCAACTCCTTCGTCTTCTTCATAATATCCTCAATAGCTACTTCAATCGGTGATAGAATTACCTACAATTAATATAATATATATTCATTTTCTGTTGTTAACATAGCATGTTTGTTTGTTTGATTGGATTTTACATCACACCGGCACAGTATAGGATATATGGAGACGTTCCAGCTTTACTGGTGGAGGAAGACCTCGAGTACCCTTCCATGCATTATTTCAGGCACAAACGGGCACCTGAGTAGAACCACCAACGTTCTGTAAGCTAGCTGGATAGCTTACCCACATGAAGCCTCCAAAGCCTCTTGAAGGATTTATTCCCTAAAGGGGTTAGGGGCAAGTAGTTTGAAGTCAACAACATTAAATACACGGTCATGGGCTCCCCTACCTGTCACACAAACACATTTTTTATGTATGACTTATGGCACATTTTCAATTATATAACAGTTGAAGAAATAATTGTGTGGTCCTTTACCAATAATTTTAGCTCCAAGTGTTCTTTATTGATGTTCAGTTTTAAGCCACAAAAACACTGCAAACATCATTATGGAATTTTCCTGTTTTTTCTGATGGAAAAACCTATCAAGCGTCTGTCTGTGCACAATCTATGTTCAAGCAGGCAGCTCATTAGAACCGTCTATCATTTTACAATAGAGCTTCACCAGAGACTGATAGCAATTGTTGAACACTGTTGAACATCAAGAGTCAAAAGGATGGGTTTTCAATACTTAACTTTCCTTATGATTTTTTCTGAGAACTGTTCCAATAATACACAATTATTTTGTGCCAGGATTCAAACCAACTAGGGTAAGACTCTTAAAACCTTCCACTAAGATACAATGAATGGAATACAAGGATCAGATAACGCAAATTAATGCAAAATATAGAATTATATTCACCTGCTCCCTGTTTATAACAGAGAGGCGTGTCTTGACATATGGGAAGAAATGATTGGTTGTTAGAATGGTTTTCCTCTTGTACTGTTCTTGTAGCTCACCATGAGCCCTTCCATCAAGAGTAAATGGTGTCGCATACATAAACCTCTCTGGAAATATACAATACATTTATGTGGAGTAAAAGTATGTACTTTGAACATATTGAAACTGAAACATTTAAAAGTCCTGCTCTGAACACCAGATATTGATTAAAAGCAATAGGTCAAGGTAAAGCAATTCGAAGGAAGCCTTCTTATTAATACAAAAGGAGATAAATAAATATTCTAGCTGTACAAGTCTGCTTTCCCCTATATCATTAAATTAAATTAAATTATATATACTTACAAATAGAAATGTTTTTATTGCTATGGAATAAACTTTGATAACTTGAAATTAAACTGAATTTAAACAAAATTAAGCAAACCACTCACTGATGTTAATGTTTTTCTCATAGTAAGTCACCCGATCTCTCAACTCATAAGAATCAAAATATGGCTCCACATAGGTGATCTGTATAAATGCCTACAATAACAAAATTATCACAATTCTGAATTTACAATAAAAATTCAACAAAGGAATAATCACAAAACTCTGAAATACTTTCAATAATTCAATTGAATAATTATTTGTTCATCATTATTTAAAATAACATGCAATTTTGAATTCAGATTTTGACACTTTTTTGTGGAATTAAATCGAAACAGATGAGCCATGACCTAATGGTTAATGGGTCTGCCTCACAACACAGGGATCATGGGTTCGAGCTCTACTCAGGTCACAACCATGTTACCTCATATGACACCAATACTGGTAATTCCCATGGAAGTAGACACCTACAATGTAAGTGGCTAAAATATGCTACCAGCCTTGATAAAAAAAACAAGTTAAAACAAACAATTTTTAAACTTTAGATTAAATAGAAAAACTGCTAAATCAAAGAAACCTACTTTGTTTTGGTCAAGTTTTTCCCTCTCTACTGTATTAGAATCCTTAATCATAGATATTACATCATGTCCAAACCTATCTCCATAGAAACTCTGCAAAATAAAATTAAAACAATCATAATAATTACAAAGCCTTTCAATTCTATTCTGGATGCTTTGAATTTGGACATGTCCAATGTAATATCGTGGAATTTTATTATCCAGCCTGATTAGACTTCAAGGTTGTGCACACTGGCCTTATTCTATACTGATGGCATAGTGCTGCTAGAATTCTTTGGCCTAATGAGTTAACTGATTACTTTTATTTAAAAAATCCCGCGAAGGTAAAATAACAGCAAATAAGGACAATAAAACTAATATAAAGGATAACTTATAAGCAGTAACTAACCTCTAGTCTGTGAGATATTTCTGGTAGTTTAGTAATGGCTGGTTCCTTGTACACAAACTCTTCTCCATCCAGGTCACCAAACTTGTGCCCATAGAAACCAACACGAAAATAAGTGCCAAACATACGCTTACCCTCCTGTAAAATTCATTACACAAAACCTTTAATAAATGTAAATGTATAATTATGTTTCTAGAATAAACTGATTTATATCTTTTCATGAACATTCTGTTTTAGATATGGCTCTTGTTATATCCAATTCTATCCAAACATCTGTACATTGAAAAGTTTACCATGATGCAAAACAATAAGACAAATGAGATTTTTAAAATCATAAATACTGTACCCCCCCCCCCACCCTTACTCAACCACCCCCATCCTTGTGATATCATGATTTATCTATTTCTGTAATATTTTAAATTAGATATTTGAAAATTACATGAAATAAACTAACCTGTTTAATGACTTGGTTGAAAGACTCTTGTAGTTTACCATGAAGATGTGCCAACTTCTTAAAATCTCTGTTATGTTCATGTATAGGTATTAGAACTCTGTACACCTTGCTTAATGCCTCGTACATTCCAGCCTGAAATATACCACATGATTTACATTACAATCAAGCAAGAATATTCTAAAATGCCTTGTACATTCCAGTCTAAAATATACAACATGATTTACATTACAATCAAGTAAGAATATTCCTAACTGCCTCGTACATTCCAGCCTGAAATATAGTATTATACCACATGATTTACTTTTTAATCAAGGAAGAATATTCCTAAATGCCGTGTACATTCCAGTCTGAAATATACCACATGTTCTACATTACAATCAACCAAAATTACTGATGACACTGACAAATGCTTTCCAACACAACTTTTTCCAGAGCTGGCCAATAATTATAAATTTTGGTGCCATGATTTGTTTTGTTGGATTACACACTGACAGTCACACTATAAAGGTCATATGGCAACTGTACAGCTGAACATATGGAGGAAGCCCTCTGGTGCCCCTCCATGAATTATTTTATGCACAAACAGACACCTTAGTACAACAACTACTGACATTCTGTTAACTAGCTTGACAGCTTCCTCACATGAAAGAATCCAAAGTCTCTTGGGAAATTCTAACTGAAAGTGGTGCTGGGCAAGTACTTTGATGCCAAAGACCTTAATCATTTGGCCACGGAAGCCCCTTTAAAATAGTAAGCAAGTACACAGAAGGACATAAGGACAAAATGGCTTTACTGGCTATTATTAAAATGTTTTGGTCAATTTGTCAGAAAAAAACTGTCATCTTGACAACTGTGTTCAACAAATTTAAGTTTGAAGTGAATATCTTTTGAAAGTTATTTAGCAGTGATCATTAACAATCAAGTAAACAAAAACTCTCGCCATCAAGTTGGTCAATAAAATGGCTATAAAACATCTTTCTCCTAAATCTTGAGCTAAAAAAACGTTTGCTATACATAACTTACCATAGTAAAACAGCTTGCAGCTTGTTCTAGCAGACCGACCAGACCATTCTCTGTGAAGTACATGCCGGTACAAATACCTTCCTCATCTGGTGACACTATATCATCTGATACGGCACTCTCCTCCAGCACGTTAGGTGTAATACGCTGAAACTCCACACAGCCTACAGGCAGGTACGTCTTGTCTTCAAGCATGTTCAGATACTCAGATATCAGTCCAGCTGCATGGACCAAACAATGGGCTGCTTCAGCGTGGTTACCTCTCTGTAAAGGAAAAACATAAAAATGTTATCTTCTGTTTTTTTTTAAACAAGTTAAGTCTTGTTGTTGAGTTTTAAGTCGAACCAACACAGTATAGGTCATTTGGCGACTTTATAGCTTTACTGGTTGAGGAGAATGACCTCAGGTGCCCTTCCATGCATTATTTCAGGCATGATCGGGGACCTGAGTAGAACCTCAAATTTTTCGTAAGCTAGCTGGATAGCTTCCTTATATGTAATGCAATTAAAACACTTCAAAACTGAAAAGGCAGACCCTTTCCATAAACCATAGTCAAAAACACTTATTCCTGAGGGTACCTGTTGTTTTTGTTGTTGTTTTTTAATATAAATATCAAATGATCATAAATCAAATAGTAAAGAAGTTTTGGAACAATTTCTTGACTCAATGCATTACCTCACTATGTTTGGTAGCCATATTTTGTAGCCATGTCAGGCGGAGATCAGGTGATGTCTGGTAACCCTTGGCGATTCTGTACATTAAATCTAGCAACATCTCTGGATCTTCCTGGAATTCTTTCATCTTGACAGTGTCTGACAGAATCATGTGCAGGTTGAATACTAAATCTTTCACCTATAAATACAGAGTAATATCCACAAATATACAACATTCAATGATACAGTTACCTCCCTTTATAACAACAGATTCATTTTACTGTAAAATTAGATGCTTTGTTAATATTTTTTAAATGTTCTTTTTGTCGTTGTTGGGTTTTACATTGCTCTAACACAATATATGTCATATGGCAACTTTCCAGGATAAGTGGTGGAGGAAGTCCTCAGGTGCCCTTCCTAGCATTGTTTCAAGCACAAATGGGCACCTAAGTAGAACATTCTGTATGCTAGCTAGATAGCTTCCTCACAAGAATAATTCAAAAGTCCCTGTCGGGATTCGAACCCATAGTGATGAGGGGCAAATGGTTTGAAGTCAACAACCTTAACAACTTGGCTATAGACGCCATCTTTATTTATAATACTTTGCCAGAGTTGTTTAATTGTTACAGTGAAGATAATGGTGAACTTTTGAAGTGGTCACCTTCAAACATAAAAAACACTCTCAAGTCCTAAGTGAGTAGGATAACTTTATAATTTTTCACAAAGAGACAAGACAAGAGGGCCATGATGGCCCTGAGGTTGCTCACCTGTATATAGCCCCTCCCCCCCAGGCCAATTTTTACCCAAGGGCTTTTATACGTTTATTTGAATGGTAGCCCAGTTTTGAATTTGTATAATAATTTGAAGAGTGGGTTTGGTTATGAACATTATTAAGATCTTATACCAGGAAATCTTAGAACTTATATAAGTAGAATACGTATGTCTTCATATGCATGACTGATACAAACCGGACATTATGGTGTAAACAGAATTCCTAGAAATGAATGATATTGTATATATTGTAATCTTTGTGATATTGAAGATGAATACCATTTTATATTAATATGTACCTGTTTTCTTGAAATTCGTAAAAAATATATTAAGAGATACTACTATGTTAGACCAAGTATGTTCAAATTTATTGAATTGTTAAATTGTAATAATAAGAAAATATTGTGTAACTTGGCTTACTATATCAGAGATGCTATGGCTAATAGAACATCCATGTCTTATAATATGTAATAATGAATGGTTAATCCTCCATGTAGGAAGTAAATAGAATATTTCATGTTGTATTCTTTATCTATATTTTCATTGTTAAAATTATGTATGTTAAGATCTATAGCTATATTTATGTACATTAAATGTCATGTGACTATTGTATAGTATATTTAAATTGTACAAATTGTAAGATGATGTACAATGTACAAATCTTGAATAAAATTTCTGTTCTGTTCTGTTCTATGTTTATTTGAACAGACTTGGTAGACACCCATAAGAAGATGTTTCAATTGCTAAACATCTAAGTTCTAGCTCATTGGGTTTTTTAAGTTTTTACTATACACATATAGTTAAAATCAATGACACCCCTGGGGCAGGGCCAGTTTTGACCCCCGGGCTTTTATTTGAACAAACTTTGTAGATATTTACTTAAAGATGTTTCATGCTTAATATCTAAACTCTAGCTATTTGGGTTTTTTCAAAGAAGATTTTTAAGTTTTTGCTATACACATATAAGGAAAATCAATGACCCCAGGGGCGGGGCCAGTTTTGACCCCAGGGCTTTTATTTGAACATACTTGGTAGACACCCATTAGAACATGTTTCATGCTAAATATCTTAGCTCTAGCTCTTTGGGTTCTTTAAAAGAAGATTTTTTAAGTTTTTACTATATGCATATAGGGAAAATCAATGATCCCCTGGGGCGGGGCCAATTTTGACCCCAGGGCTTTTATTTGAACAAACTTGGTAGACACTCACTAGAACATGTTTCATGCCAAATATCTAAGCTCTAGCTCTTACGGTTCTTGAAAAAAGATTTTTAAAGTTTTTACTATATGCATATAGGGAAAGTCAATGACCCCCCGGGGAGGGGCCAATTTTGACCCCAGGGCTTTTATTTGAACAAACTTGGTAGACACTCACTAGAACATGTTTCATGCCAAAAATCTTAGCTCTAGCTCTTACGGTTCTTTAAAAGAAGATTTTTAAGTTTTTACTATATGCATATAGGGAAAATCAATGACACCCTGGGGCGGGGCCAATTTTGACCCCAGGGCTTTTATTTGAACAAACTTGGTAGACATTCACTAGAAGATGTTTCATGCCAAATATCTAAGCTCTAGCTCTTACAGTTCTTTAAAAGAAGATTTTTTAAGTTTTTACTATACACATATAGGGAAAATCAATGATCCCCCGGGGCGGGGCCAATTTTGACCCCAGGGCTTTTATTTGAACAAACTTGGTAGACACTCACTAGAAGATGTTTCATGCCAAATATCTAAGCTCTAGCTCTTACGGTTCTTTAAAAGAAGATTTTTTAAGTTTTTACTATATGCATATAGGGAAAATCAATGACCCCCTGGGGCGGGGCCAATTTTGACCCCAGGGCTTTTATTTGAACAAACTTGGTAGACACTCATTAGAAGATGTTTCATGCCAAATATCTAAGCTCTAGCTTTTAGGGTTGTTTAAAAGAAGATATTTAAAGATTTTTCTTTCGGTTGCCATGGCAACCAGAGTTCTGCATGGAATTAAATTCTTTGAACAATTTTTAAAGGTGACCACCAAAGGAACATTCCTGTGAAGTTTGGATGAAATTGGCTCAGTGGTTTATGAGGAGATGTCATTTAAAGCAAAAGTTTACGGACGGACGACGGATGGACGGACGATGGACGGACGCCGGGCAAAAAGCGATCACAAAAGCTCACCCTGTCACTTTGTGACAGGTGAGCTAATAAAAATAGAAAAGTAGAATTACCTGATCTGGAAACGTAGTCTCCTGTAGTTCTGTGTCAGCTTCAGCGTATGTCAGTATAGTTTTCAACGACTTACGTAGGTATTCTTCATTAAAATCCTGATTTTGACCAACCAGTGAACTCAGTGACATAGTAACTTGCATCTTTACTCGGGAAAAGTTCTACAATGAACAAAAATACTTTGATGACAATTAATTCAAATGATTTAAATAAGACAACAAGCAGATGAAGTTTCAACCCATTCCTTTAGTAGTTTTTTTGATACCAACTTGCACGCAAAAACTAAAGCAGTGTGACATCGACACCTGAGTGAGTACAATAGCTGTCCCTATTTTTTTGTGTAATTAAGCTTATGATACACATGTAACATCAAACCTGACTGTTTAAATGACTGTTTTGTTAATTTCCAAAGTTATGACAAAAAAGAATACTGTATCTGTTGAAATTAACTTTATTGAACTCATCCAATAAAGCTTTCAAAATTTATTAAAGGAACATGACTATGTGTCTTAGGAAAAAAATAACCATTTAAAACCAACATGAAATATCTTACATTTCCTAGTTCAAAGTTTTGTCTCATCAGCATATATAGAGAAGCGCTGGCCTGGGCACGCGTGTTACCTATACATGAGCTACAATGTCGCAGCAGACGCAGGCACAGATCTGCACACTGTTCTGTTTCCTCTTCAAACAGGAGGTCCAAAAACTGTAAAAAAAAAAAAGAAATTTTAATATCATTAGAGCGAAAAAATTTTTACTCATCAAAACTAATATCAAGTATGTTTAGTAACTAAAAAAGAAATAAATGAATAAGAGAAGGAACAACATGTCAATACCAACAACAAGATGTATTATTAGATCTATCAGTTTCGATTCTATATATAGTATTATAGATTTAGAAGATATATAAAATAAAAGAATCTTAACTCATGTAAATCCATCTCAAAAACAAAATAAAATCATTTAACTTGTAAAGTGAAAAACATCAGTCTGAAGCAAAAAAGAAACTTCCTTGCATTAAAAGGGTGAAATGTAAAAAATGTATAAAGCGAACAAATCTCAACTTGTATAAATAAATTTTTGTCATCAAATTCAAAGAAAACTGTCAGAAAATGTTAAAACAAATGTAATTCCCTCAATCAACTTGTGTATAATTATTATCATTATACTATATCTTACCTGTATTTTGTTCACACTTATGTTTGCATTCAAATGTTAATTAAGTTATGAAAAGGCAGAGCATTAATTTTATCATTAAAATAAGCACTATTTTGTGTTGACACTTATTAGCCATAGTAAACATATACTGCTGTCTTACTCATTGAAGTTGATACACTTATCCTTTGATGTTGATGATGAACTGTTCCAAAACTCAAAACAAGACATGAGCAAGCCAGAAATTACTTAAGCAAGTCAACAGAAAATAGTACTATAACTGACAGCTATTTACCTTTGTAACAAGTGACCTTTGTGAACTAAACATGTGTTGTAGAACAAATGTACTCTGGTTAAGTCCTAGACCATGTAGAAGTACCCTCAATGCACTGCTCAGTAATGGTTGCATCATCTCTGAAGCTTGGGCAATCTGGAAAAGTTATAGAAATCATTATTGTATTTTATATTCAGTTTAAAAAGCTGTTGAACTTTTATGAAGTGGTTAAACCTCTTCCATCAGTATAGAGCTAGGAAAGTCTGCACATCTGTGGGGCGATAGTTAAAAGACAAGGTTAGTTTACCTGCAATTTAAAGATTTATCACATACCCGTGTAACTTTTGTGACTCCTTAAAAATGGTATTGCACAGTCGTGCATATATTGATGTGACGTCATTTGTGTTTTACAAATGTAGTGTAAAGACTTGCTTAATGGTAGCGTAATACTATAGGCGCGTCAATTTTGCATAAATTGACATCCTTTTGGTAATTTGTGTGAATTTTAAGTGCCATTGATAATTTTCATGAAAATTAGCATTAATCTGGAGGCATGCTACTTCAACTTCAAATTGACTATTCCAGATTCCAAGTTGGGTAAATCCATTACATAAATTCAGCAGGTTCAGCATCAATCAGGTAAGAAAAACCATGTTCCTCACAACCTTCCACTATTTGATAAACTGATTCAGTTATTACAAAAACCAACCAACCTGTATGATGAGTTCTAATGTATCCAAGGCAACCATGCTGACTTCTGCTGCAAGGTTACCTTCTATATGTGCGTCTGCTTCAACATCTCTAGGTTTGGGGCTGTAATATTTTATCAGATGCATAGTTAAAATTTATCTTTAAAAAGAGGTGGCAATAAAATGAGACCAATTTATTTAGTCTTTATATTCACTTTTTCTTCAGGCTCAATTCTTTAGGCAGCAATAATGGTCCCTGTAATAATAAACAAAGTGTATTTTTTGCAGAGCTTTTTTTATTATTATTATTGGTTTAACATCGCACCAACACAGTATAGGTCATATGGCTACTTTCCAGCTTTCCTGGTGGAGGAAGACGTCAGGTGCCCCTCTGTACATTATTTCTGGCACAAATGGGCGCCTGAGACGAGCCACCGATGTTCTGTAGCTTTCTCTGGATAGCTTTCTCACAAGAAGAGTCTGAAGCCGCTAGCGTGGCTCAAACTTACAGTGGTGAGAGGCAAGTGGTTTGAAGTCAACAACCTTAACCAATCAGCCATGAACCCTACACTAGTAAAGCTGTGAAGCCATCCTAGTACCTTTGACAATAATAAAATGACTTAAAGTCCAAAGCTTTCTGGGTCGGTTTTTGGGAATTTCAGCAGACCTTGACCTTTCAAGAGAGAGAAAATGCCAAGTCTTCAGTTGAGTTAATCATTTTTCATATCTAGGATTGATCTGCAGTGAAATATTTGGACTAACAATAATCAAGTACATCAAAACATGTCACAATCAAGGAACCAATAAACAACAAGCAATTATCATAGTATTGCAAGCAATCCATAAGTCCCCTACCGGTTAGAACCCCAGCAACATTCTGATTTCAATTTTACCAGTGAATAAATGACACGAATGAACTTAAATCTTTTGAGTTCTAAGTTTGTCTATTTCACAGTAATGTGTTAAGTTTCCCTGCCTAGTAAGGAAATTATGTTTATACAACCTTGTCATATTATTACGATGTGGGATTTTAAAGTAAATCCTATAAGGAATGAAGAAGTTGGAGTAAAAAATACCAATTTCTCGAAAAAAATCTAAGTTCAAGGGGGACATAATTCTGGAAATAGTCTTGCTAGAGTATTTAACCTTCTCAAAAATGTTGAGTGATAATAAGAAACATATATATGAAGTTTGAAGTAGATACATTAGGAAATAAAGAAGTTATTTAAAAAAAACGTTTTTTTCCATAAAAATTCTAAGTTCAAGGGAGGTAATACTGATAATTTTTGTGCTAGAGTTGTAAACCTTGTCACATATGATGTGGTTGATGACCAGAAACTTATATTTAAAGTTTGAAGTAAACACCTTAAGAAATAAAGAACTTATAGTGAAAAAGCTGAAAAATTCAAATCAGAAATCTTGAAATTCAGGCTAAATAACTTTTGAAACTAAAATCAGTAGACAGTAAATCAATAACTAAGGGAGATTATTACATACCAACTGTCATCATAGAATACCAAAGATGAGAACATTTTATAAACACACAAGAGTATAAAGAGAAGAAATGATAATTTTTTTACCTATCAAAAGGTTCATGAGAATGCCTCCATTGAACCTGTTCTTTCCTCCATCTTAGTTTCCCTCCTTCCATTGCAGCTAGAGGACTCTGACCTACTGCTGGTGGTGTCCTGTCACCTATAAACCAATTATCACAATTCACAGAAATTACAAATATCACAAAATAAGTGACTATCCATATAATGAAAACTGCTGACTGGTGTTCTATTTACACAGTTACTCTAACTTGACATATTTGATTCTTATTTTTTCAAGGTTGAGGGAAGATGGACAGAGTAAGGGGACCTGTGTTGCGAGACTTGATGAGACTTCAAAACAAGGTCTTATATATTATATTTCAGAACAGCAGATACTTAAAGAATGAAGAATCTGACGTTGAAAAGCAAAGGTGGTGGTAGTGTTAGTTATTTAACCTTCGGTACACAACAATAAGCCACACTAAATTCATCAGAGCACAGTTCAGCTACGGCATTGTTCCTGGGCAGGCTGTCAAGCAGTTTACCAGAAATAATTGCCTTCACTTTTGCAAAAAACTGGTGATTTCTGCACATGCCAGAGCAGAAATACAGTGTGAATGACCTTAGAGAAGATTTCGTGATCAATGACAAATGAAAGAGACCTACACAGTCCAGGTCACCCGATGGACAGTCCAACACTTTACCTATTGAGCTAACTGGACAATACTTTGGCAAGATAGTTATCCAGTAAGATATTAAATACCGCTGAAGTATGACTGTAGGTGATTCAGTCAGCAATAAACATACTGCTGGAGACTATGAATAAACAATATATACATACAAATACATTATAACTGACCATTCAATCTTTATTAATAATTAATATAATTAGCACCTATGTCTTACCTGATAAGCTCATGTTGGCACTTTGTCTCCGCCTCATCATCTCCGCCCTTGCATTAGCTCCGCCTAGAATAGCCTCTTCAAGGCGGGACTTCATATCAACACTTTTCTTCATGGTTTGCTGGGAAAACTGGGCCATGCTTTTTTTACCCTGGTATTCAATGGGTGTAAAATTATTATTTAAGTGAATATTTACATATACATTGTATATTTTACAATACAAATATAATGTAACTATTCACTACACATGTTCAGTGCTAAATTAGAAAAGTAAACACGTTTAATTTTAACAACCCATGTAACTTTAAAATCACATATACATGGGAATTCATACCATATATAACAATGTCAAGTAAATAACTATACATTAAAGGTACAGGCAAACTTGTGAACACTTCTCCAGCTTCATAAATTATGATGTAACTTGTACCTATGGCATCAAGATCAAAGTTTTATTAATGTATGCTGTTTATGGTTTTGGTCACATCATAATCATTTTCTTTGGAAAATAACTGCAAAGAATTTATTTTCATTTTTATCTGAGAAAAGTTACATGTAACTAGCTTTCAGTGTTTACATCACACAAGTTTGACTGTACGTAGGAAGTTGTACTAGCAACAAAGCATTATGATTATATTGAATAAAACAACACGGCTGATAATTGTACCTAAAATAAATAATCAGCACATCTATACAATAACACAACTATTTTCAAACGTTTCCTAAAAGTGATAATCTTTTCCTTGTCTATAAAAGTTTAATTCGAAAACTATCAGTGCCAACAGGATAATGCAGTCCTTAACAAGAGCTGTCCGTAAGACAGCGCGCTCGACTTTTTTATTGCTTGCCAATAAAAAAAGTTTTTGCAGTAAAAGGCAATACAAGAATCTCTGTATTTTTAAAGTGAACTAGTTGTTTGATACCCTTGAATATTACAGCAATGTTTATATGACATAATTTATGGTAAAGTGAACAAGTGGATAGGAATGAATTTTTTTAGATTTTTTAAGTTTTTTAGTGCTTGCCTATAATACAAAACATTGACAGTTAAGGGCCATAATTCAAATAAAATCTTTGACAGAATTACCTTCTCCTGGACATGTTTGGGAATCATGATTGTAAACAAGTATTCCAACTTTCAAATTAATATCTCAAACAGTTCAGTCAAAAAGTGGACTGGTACTAAAAACTTAACCAAGATTCTAAGTCGATAAAAGGCCTTAATTTTTAAAACAAATCCTTGACAGAGTTACCTTCTCTTGCGTACAGATGGGGGAAATGATGTGAAATAGCATTAAAAGTTTCAAAGCAATATCTCAAAGGGTTAAGGCAATAAGTGGATTTTACCCATATTCAATGTATTTTCTAAGTCAAAAAGGGGCATAATTCTGTCAAAAACCTTGACAGAGTTATGTCCTCTTGTCTGTTGATGAAGGTCGTGATGGTAAACAAGTATGGTCAGTTTCAAAGCAATACCTCCAATGGTTTTGAAATAAAGTGAGGTGGTACAAAAAACTTAACCAAGCTCAATACACTTTCTAAGTCAAACAAGAGCTGTCCGTAAGACAGCGCGCTCGACTTTTTTATTGCTTGCCAATAAAAAAAGTTTTTGCAGTAAAAGGCAATACAAGAATCTCTGTATTTTTAAAGTGAACAATGGCCATGAGCATTAAGATATTTAGTGAAGAATTATTTTACTGAATTGAATATTACAGCAATGTTTATATGACATAATTTATGGTAAAGTGAACAAGTGGATAGGAATGAATTTTTTTAGATTTTTTAAGTTTTTTAGTGCTTGCCTATAATACAAAACATTGACAGTTAAGGGCCATAATTCAAATAAAATCTTTGACAGAATTACCTTCTCCTGGACATGTTTGGGAATCATGATTGTAAACAAGTATTCCAACTTTCAAATTAATATCTCAAACAGTTCAGTCAAAAAGTGGACTAGTACTAAAAACTTAACCAAGATTCTAAGTCGATAAAAGGCCTTAATTTTTAAAACAAATCCTTGACAGAGTTACCTTCTCTTGCGTACAGATGGGGGTAATGATGTGAAATAGCATTAAAAGTTTCAAAGCAATATCTCAAAGGGTTAAGGCAATAAGTGGATTTTACCCATATTCAATGTATTTTCTAAGTCAAAAAGGGGCATAATTCTGTCAAAAACCTTGACAGAGTTATGTCCTCTTGTCTGTTGATGAAGGTCGTGATGGTAAACAAGTATGGTCAGTTTCAAAGCAATACCTCCAATGGTTTTGAAATAAAGTGAGGTGGTACAAAAAAACTTAACCAAGCTCAATACACTTTCTAAGTCAAAAAAGGGCCATAATTCTGTCAAAAACCTTGACAGAGTTATGTACTCTTGTCTGTAGATGGAGGTTATGATGGTGAACAAGTATGGTAAGTTTCAAAGCCATACTTGTAATACTTCTGAAATAAAGTGGGGTGGTACGAAAAACTTAACCAAGGTGTGACGCCAACGCCGACGCTAACGCCGACGCTAACGCCGACGCCGACGCCGGGGCGAGTAGGATAGCTCCCCTTTTCATAGAAAAGTCGAGCTAAAAAGGGCCATAATTCTGTCAAAAACCTTGACAGAGTTATGTACTCTTGTCTGTAGATGGAGGTTATGATGGTGAACAAGTATGGTAAGTTTCAAAGCCATACTTGTAATACTTCTGAAATAAAGTGGGGTGGTACGAAAAACTTAACCAAGGTGTGACGCCAACGCCGACGCCGACGCCGGGGCGAGTAGGATAGCTCCCCTTTTCATAGAAAAGTCGAGCTAAAAATGTTTTTTTTCTTATAAAGTCAAATATTTGGTATGCAGAATTCTGAAGTTGACCATCTCTTTTAAAATCTAATGGCTTTGTCATTTAAATATTTTGGACAAGCCTACTGCATCACTCAATCATTACCCCAGCCATTCCACCACTTGTCCAAACAAAACCATGGTATTGACATAGCCAATACAAAGACAAATGGATTAGGCACAAAAATCTCTAATTGTTTTTCCTTGCTGTCCCCGACATCGCCAAGATAATATTACACTGCTGGTATGGCCGACTACTAAGGATCATAGATATCTGCATGACTTTAAACCCCATCAGGGGCGAGCTGTTTGTCTCCCTGAACAAGAAACTTTACACCCATTGCTCAGAACTGGTTGGGTCCATAGTGGGTCAATAAGCTTTAAGCGTCCTACACAATCAAACTAAAACAAATTCTGTATAAACTAAATAACAGATTGGCAACTTTGAACAAAAACTTCCATGATGGACTTAAATTGAATTCTCATCCAAATTTATGACAAAAAATAACACACAGTTTCAGCAAATAATAATATATTGTGGATATATAAAAGCAATGAATTTGAATATACCTCTTTCAATACCACTGAATGTTGTTTACTGTAATTCACTATACTTTTTAAATATAAATCTTTCAGAAAATGCTAATGATAATATAATATCAACGATGGGCAATGAAACAGGTACATTCAAATAAACTAAAACATATAAATATACATATGTATAAAGCATTATTGGACATTAACTATCATTATGTACCAGTCAGTTGCAGTCCAGGCCTATCCCCCACCCCCAAAAATATAACAGGGACTTTGAATTATGGATAAAAAAAATCCCAATAATGGTTCCACACCCTACAGGAGCAAAAACATGGTGCAATCTTAGCTTTAAATGCCCCTACATTTTAAGATGGAAATGTCCCCTTGACAACCCCCATATACAGCTGTGCTGGAACATGCTGAAGATAAACACTTGGCTCATTTTGTTCAGCATTCCTCTCCACTGCCTCGAGGGGCCCTGTGTGGGAGTGGGGAGGAGGTGGGGGTGGAAGGAGCAGGGTCAGGATCTGGATCACAAATGACTGATGCATTATACAACACTAAGTTTTGATAACATAATATGGGATATGGGTTTTCACTACAAATTATAAACACATAATTATATAAATTTTAAGCTGAACCTTTTTTCAACTACATTTGTAGTGAATTTTAGACTATAGTCAAACTCATCATGGCCTTTCTAGGAAAAGGCTATAAGCATATTTATTTTGAATCCCCTTATTTCCTCCATAAATTATTATGAAATGCTTACATGATACACTTGTAAAAATGAAAATTATTAAAAATGGGTCAAGCATGACAATTTAGAATAATGACCTTTATTTAAAAAATGTCATGCATGACCTCAAGAATTAAAGGTCAAACTGAAATTGATTAAATTCCTCAAAACTAAAAGTATTTAAAATATCAAGTTTTGGATGGAAATATTAATCAATTTCCATCTGATTCAATTTTATATTATTTAATTAATCATAATTATATACGAGTTCATTTTATTTTTCTATGATGTTTCAAATATTTAAAATATTAAAGTTTAATCTTGTTTTTTTTTCCATCGTTTAATAAGATTTTCTTATAAGACCCAAATACTAGTAGACTGGAGAAGTTTCTAATCATAAACAAATTTATTTCAATTTTGTTATTCAGCACTAGTCCCCCCTATAAATTAAATAATACAGACTCCCACTCATTAGAATCTGTCTAACATCATGTTACTGTTCAGAATTTTCAATTTTTTACACAAAAAACATAATAATATTATAATCATAAACTCAGATTCTACCCAAGCAAAGCTATATACAAAATATGCATAACATATATGCATTAATAAATGCAAACTAAATAACTTTCTATAGAAAACTGTTCCAATAAACAATTTCATATGCAAATAAATAACAAAATGCTGATTAATATTTCAAATCAACCAATCAAATGCAAGCATGCTAGATGCTGCGCAGTACCTGATTGGGTGAATCATCTTTACTGTTGCTGCGATAGAGCATTCCCGTTCCTTTGAGAAAATCTTGCGATTTCCGCTGAATTCCTTCCCACAAGTCACTTTTGGACAGAGATTTTGGCAAACTGGCGCTTTTTAAGCGCGACAATGTACTTGTGGGGCTTTCTTTCCAATCCTCGAGGGTCTCCTGCGAGTCACTTAGGTGCGGGGGCATAATCGTCATATTAATATTGGACCATTTAGCCTGCAGATAATACACATTTGACAGCCTATGTACAATTATCCAACTGCAAATCAAATCTGTTATTCCAGAGAATTATCTTTTTTAAATATTAAAAAAATATTTTTCTTCTTTTCCACTTATAAATTTCTTTTTAAACTATTAATTTTCAAAACAATTTTTCTGTTAAATTATTATTTTTTTCTAATTTATTTATTTATTTTTTTTTAATTTTTCAGGTAATATGAAGTTTTGCTTATGTACACAATCATCCCTGGGCTGATTTTTTTTTTTTACGTGAGCAAATTTACATGGAAAATTGGAGTTAAATTTTAGTTATTAGTACTTCATCAAATGCATTATACACCACACTTCTATAACTCCAAACTTTTATCACAAACTCTCAACTACTTTTTTATGCATCCCATGCAATGTCAGGTACAGTGGGTGGGGTTATGTGTTGGTTGCATGACTGTACAAAAACTGACCTTCCATATCATTGCCCTGTTTTTATGGTTTCCATGGCAACATTTAGTGTTTTTATCTACTTGGACATGCTTATTTTTGCAAGACAAGTGATTTTTTAAAACATGCGTGTTTAATCAGTGACAAGTCCAACTGGTGGAATTTTCTTGATGAAAACGTTAGTAAAACCAAAAATAATATTCACATGCTTGACCTTTGACCTGAAAATCTAACAAGTGGTAACACTCCTTTTATTTCTATATATATATCTTCCATCAAGCAGTTACACATACCGACATGGTATGATGGCACTTAAATTTGATGACTGAATACTGCTTAAATGGGTGCCATGGGGTGTATGAAGAATGTTGCACTTTTTTATTATCTCTCATGAAGAGACTCAACCAAATGGAGTCTGCAATTTTCATATAATTTAGTTGTTTGTGATGCTTCCTATGCAGATCACTCCTTTACAATAGGTAAATTATGTCATGACCTTGAACTTTGACCTATTTATTAATACAAAATCTCAATATTTAAACTTCTAAATTCATCTCTTTAATAACAATAACATCATAGTCAATAAGAACTTTATAATGCTTGCAACAAACACTGAAATTTATCATTGTGCTGTTTTGTATTTCAATGACCTTGACCTTTTACAAATACCCTTACACATGATGTCCAAAGGAAATTGTGTAAATACCATTACATTATCATATCCATTATAGGTAACCATTTGTAACAGATAAGCCTCATAATTTGTTTAAAGACATAGGAATTACTGTAGATCAACTCAAGGTCAAATTACACCAAGGTCAAATAACAGAAGGTCAAATTACACCAAAAAATGAAATATCATAGTACATGTACAACCCAACAATGTGCCATTTATCAGAATATTCAATGTTATGACATCCATATTATATAACAAGTTATGACCGGTGATGCGCAAGTGTGATAGTGTTCAATTAAAGATCAGTTGCCACTCATGCCAGCTTTGTGTTACAATAAATTACTATCTAGAACAATGTCAAGGACATCTCAACGCTTTTGAGTATAGAAATATTGAATGATTGTTGTAGAATTACAAATTTTTATCATGAAATAAAGTGTGAAAATAAAAATGTTTTGTGCATATTTATGACTATGATTGATTTACCCCGGTACACCCACTTGAACCAAAATCCCCCTATTTTTTGGTCAAATCCCCTGCTTTTTAAAGCCAAATCTCCCTATCTGGGTGTCTGGAAATATGGCATGTATGCAAAAGACTGGAGTTCATACAAATTCAGAAACAGTAAGTCAAATGTTGGCACTGGGACTAATATAAGACATAGCTGTTGTCTACTTAAAATGTTAAAACATTTTGGAAAAAAAACTTGAGGTCACTCAAACTTTCTAATCAATACTTATAGCCCATAAACTTTTAAGTCCTCATATAAGCTAGTCCAGTTTTCTAGGAACTTTCGCTTTAAGGGAAGGTGAAGGTAAATAAAACTAGAACTGCCACTATCATGGCGTGAATACCCCCGCATACCACTTTGTCAGAATCAACAGTGGCCATTTAGAGCTCAAGGACAACCTCCCTGCCAAATCTGAGGTTACTAAGCCAGTGCATTGCTAAGTTATGTATTCTACATGCTTCAAATGTGAAAATGTCAAAATAAATACATTGCGGACAGGACATTCTTTAGCAATTGAGAAGAAAAGCTTTTTTTTGTCAAGGTCCCTGTGACCTTGACCTTTGACCCAGTGACTTCAAAATCAATAGGGGTCACCTTATAGTCATGATCAACATCCATACCAAATATGAAGACTGTGGGTCAAAGGAATCTTAAGTTAATGGGTGGACAAACTTTTTGAAGTCAAAGTCCCTATGACCTTGACCTTTGACCTGGTGACCTCAAAATCAATAGGGGTCATCTACTTATCATGACTAACCTCCATGCCAAATATGACGACTGTAGGTCAAAGGAATCTTAAGTTATTGGGCGGACAAGCTTTTTGAAGTCAAGGCCCCTGTGACCTTGACCTTTGACCTGGTGACCTCAAAATCAATAGGGGTCATCTACTAATCATGACTAACCTCCATGCCAAATATGAAGACTAAGGGTCAAAGGAATCTTAAGTTATTGGGCGGACAAGCTTTTTGAAGTCAAGGCCCCTGTGACCTTGACCTTTGACCTGGTGACCTCAAAATCAATAGGGGTCATCTACTAATCATGACTAACCTCCATGCCAAATATGAAGACTAAGGGTCAAAGGAATCTTAAGTTATTGGGCGGACAAGCTTTTTGAAGTCAAGGCCCTGTGACCTTGACCTTTGACCTAGTGACCTCAAAATCAATAGGGGTCATCTACTAATCATGACTAACCTCCATGCCAAATATGAAGACTAAGGGTCAAAGGAATCTTAAGTTATTGGGCGGACAAGCTTTTTGAAGTCAAGGCCCCTGTGACCTTGACCTTTGACCTAGTGACCTCAAAATCAATAGGGGTCATCTACTAATCATGACTAACCTCCATGCCAAATATGAAGACTAAGGGTCAAAGGAATCTTAAGTTATTGGGCGGACAAGAAAAAACCGACGGCCGGACGGACGGACGGCCGGACGGACAGCCGGACGGACGGACAAGCTGATTCCAGTATACCCCCCTTACAACTTTGTTGTGCGGGGGTATAAATTAACTTTAAATGTATGCTTGTGCCTAAATCACAAGGATAGTGAAGACCAGTTTACACAATGCCAGCAGTCAAATCAGGACACACTTGGCTGTTCTACCCTCCAACATTAACCCCTTGCTTTTGGCTGTTCTTTTTTTTCCCCAATATTAAACCCCTTACTCTGGGCTGTTATTTTCTCCCCATATTGAACCTGTTCTTTTCCCCCAATACTGAACACCTAACTCTTGGCTGTTAATTTTAAGATATTAAGTGTAGTAAGAGTTAATCAAACCGAGTCTGCAATTTTCTTGTTATTTAAATTGTGATTAATGGTTTTTCGAGGGATCACACTTTTTTTCAGAATTTTAAAACAACAACAGACAGATAGGAAATTATTAAATGTCAGGGCAAATCTATGATACAAAACTGTTTTGCTTAAACATAGGTAATTTAGCTTTACTATAAAACAAGTCCTTGCAAATTTCATTTATTAGATTCTAGTCTCTTTCCTGTACGTAACCAGTACTTGTGTCATATAAAGAAGCATGACTGTGACCAAGCTTGAACCTATTACCTCTGGGTTGAACGGCAGACACTTTTTATACTACTGGACCAATGATTCCCTACATATGAGTATAATTATTATTTAGCAAATGTACAAATTTAACTGTAAAATTCAATCGTAACATTTCACAGGTTATGGCTAACTGATCATTACTTAACTATACAAATTATGAAATTTGTCAAACATGCAAAGCAATTCACATGATGGTGTAATGTCAAAGGTGGTATGTGTTATGTCAAATATATACTTGTGAATATGAGATGAAATTTCATAATAAATTATATATAAAAAATGTAACCAAAAAACAATCAAGATATTCTATTAGATTATTAGTATAAACAAACCAATTCACTTTAAAATTCAAAATCTAATATCAAGCTACAAAACCAAATTGTTATTTCACTTTAATGAAAGCATTTTGAGGCAAAAAAAATCATTGGTAGCCATTAAGTTAAGCCTTAAAATACACCAGAAGAGCAAATTTAATCAAAAATGAGAATTTCAAAGTTCCTTCTTTATATAAGCCGCGTCACGACAAAACCAACATAGTGCATATGGGACCAGCATGGATCCAGACCAGCCTGCGCATCCGCGCAGTCTGATCATGATCCATGCTATTCGCTATCAGTTTCTCTACTTGTAATAGAGTGGTGAGCGAACAGCATGAGGCTCAATGACCATGAATCTGCAATTACTGTTTGCAAAGACATGTAAAACTCCAAAACTGCTTCTCCATTAACAGTATAATGTATTTGAATTTCAAATATATAAGTTTAAAGGTAAATTATTAGATAAGATAACTTTCAAATATGAAGAAATTTAAGTACATGTAACTGGTGGCTATTTTTTTTAATAAACTGGAGCAATGTTAATTCAATCTACAAAATATCAAAACTTCAACAAAATATTGGCAATATATATTAACCTAAAGGGCTTTGAATAGGAGTTTGATTCTACAGTATACAGGGATTTTCTTTCTGAATAATATAACCCTTGAAATAAGAGAGCATGATTTCGGACTGATATAAAAAAGGTCTATCTGATTAATCAATTGTGCCGCTACTAAGCATGAATGATATGGAATCTTGATGAGCATCTGGTCATCTTAAGTTACAGATTGACCATTGTCTTATTGCCTTATGGTTTCAGACTGACCTGCGCCTTATGGTAATGAATTTATGTTTAACTAATTGTAACTTACTGACCTTTGTCTTATGATAGCTGATTGAACCTTGTCTTATTTTCTTATGATAACTGACTGACCCTTGTCTTATGATAACTGACTGACCCTTGTCTTATGGAAACTGACTGACCCTTGTCTTAAAA